TGTCCTCCTTTTGCGCTCCTTTGGGGCTCCTCCCTCCCGGCTCCCCGGGTCCCCGCGCCCCTGCGCACCGCCGCTCTCCTCGATCTCTCTGCCCCCCTCTGGGTCTCCCGCTCCGCCTCCGCCGCGGCCGGTGGCCCTGTCCCCGCGAACCCCGGGGCGGTCCGCTCGCGGCGCCTACCTGTGCCAGCCGCCTCGGGCGCCTCCCGCGTGCCCCTCGAGGTCCGTGCCCTCCGTCCGCCGCGGCCGGCCTCCACCCAGGGCCTGCGTCGCCGGGCTCTTTGTTACCTTCCCTCCTCGTTCGGGAAAGCTAGGCAAAGAACAACACGCAAGACAAGACAGCATGAGCTGGGGCTCTCGCCGGCAGCCTCTCGAGGGGTTATCGCAGACCCCAACATTGCAACAAAGAAATCGCACTGTTGGGGGAGTGAAAACCAGTTACAGGACAAGAGGAGAAAACTTCGGCGCTTCCAAAATCCGGCAGCCCCAGCTGCCCTCCAGGGGCTCCCCCTTGTGGGAGATGCCGGGCATGGCAAGGCGGAACCTGGCTGGGAAGACGGCGGGGTGCAGGAACCCGGAGAGGAGCGCGCACGCCCCGGGGTGCCCACAGGGTGTGGGGTCCACCCCAGCCACGGAGAACAGCCTCGAAGTTGAGCGAGGCCGTCCTGTGATGAGGGAAATACCTCCGGGCCTGGAGGTCTCTGAGTCCAGAGGAGGTGGTGTGAGTGAGAGGCTTTGCAGGGCTTCCCTGCAGGACAGGACGTGGTGATGGGCAGCTGTCTGCCTGCCTCTGCTTGGTGTCCAGCTCTCTGGCTGGCACGCGTGTATCGTGAAGTCAGACACCCAACCGGGGCTGTTCCAGAGGAACAGGGCGGGTCTGCACCGCCAGGGGGAAGGGGGATGGCCCAGTTCCTGGGCTCTCACCAGTGTAAGCACTTGGAAGATTTGTGTCCCTGGGGCTCTGGCAACTTCTTGTCCCTCGCTTTGATAAAAATGGAATAATACGTTCTCCTGAGGGATACAATTTCATTTATTGTGACCCACCCTGGCAGGCAGGTAGGAAATCAAATATATTACTCTCTGCAAATAAAATCAGAAGCTCAGGCAACCAAGTAAGGTCTCCCATGCACTAGAAAACCCATCAAGGGGGCTAAGATCAGGATCCGGGTTTCCAGACGCCTCCCCGCTGGGCCCAGACTCTGCGGAGAAAGGTGGGGAGGCTCAGGGACCCTCCTCAGGGAAGGCCATAAGGTGTACCACTAGCAGTATTGATTGGCCTTTGGCCTGGAGGCCGGTGTGCTGGGCGGACAGACACAGACGGACAGAGCCTGCAGGAGAGAATTCATCATGGTGTCGGATGCGGAGCAGGCCACCTGCGGGTTTAGTGGGAAGCTCTTTATTACCCACCTTGTAGGACCCAGGAAGGACACTTGGCAGGATGACGCCAGGTGCTGTGGCACTGAACGCCAGGTCACTGCTTGCTTTGGGCCACACTGTCTCTTCATACCAGTCCCAAGATCCCAATGTGACATTAGGCTAACCCCATTTTAGGAATGAAGACACTGAGGTCAGAGCAGCTCCCGGATGACCAGGGAAGGGGCAGGGGGCAGCCAAGTCAAAATCAGATTATTCCTAGAGCTCATCTCACCACGTCACCGTCCCTCCCTGACGCGTGCAGCTGTCCTGGCAAGGGAGTTCTGGCAGAGGGGCTGGTATCAAACACTTCCTATTCGCGTCAACAAACCGAATCTCAACCCAGTCTCCACTGAGCTCTATGAATGAAATTCCGTGACTGCCTGATGTAGGTGGCAGCCCTGCAGGGACAGGAAGGGAAAACTGGGTTGGATAAAATGATAAAGCTCCATTGTTAAAAAAAAAAACCACAGCGACATCGTGGGCTCCTTCTAGGTGAGCAACACAGACACTACAAGAATCAAGACAAAAATCAATGACAGTCACCTTAAGAAAAAGACTGAGGTCACTGAAATGGTGATGATGATGATGATGATGATGATGACAACTCAGCTGATGATAAAGTTACTGGCCGCGAGCACAATCCCCATGTTTTAAAACCGTGGTGGACATTGAACGGAACAAGTAAGAGGTACCTTGCTCTGACGAACCTGAAACTTTGCTATAAACCCAAGTCAAGTAAAAACAGTGACAAGGATTTAAAGAATGGAAGGAAAACTGCAAAAGCAAAAAGATTTCCTTTCAGGCAAGGGGGTCTGAAACAGAGACTCTTTGGTGACAGGAGAGGTAAGGGGCTTGAGGTGAGGGGTCAGGAAACAGGAATTGAATGGAGAGGGAAGGAAGAGGCTGGCTCCCTTGGCTGGTCAGAACATCTGTGCTGGCCCCGCAGCGGGCAAAATGGAAGACACAGAAACAGCACGACCATGGTGCAGGAGAGACTTGAAGACATGCTGTGGGGCATTTGGAAAACCGGGACTATGTAGGCAGACAGAGATATGAGGGGGGTGGGCCAGCAGGCGGTGTGGGGGTGAAGGTAACTGGGTCCCACATGGCTGACTGAGTGGTTTGAGTCTCAGATCTGGTAGCTTCAAAAGTATGCTGAGCACATGTGTGTCCGTGCCTGAAATCCCAAGAGGAGACCAGAGGAGAAGGGATTGTGGTGTGGTCATTCTCTTAGCAGTGATTTCTCACTTTCCCTCTCACTCCTTCAGGGTCTCTCTCTGGTGAGCACACATGCCCTATAGCAAAAACAAAAACAAGCAAACCAAAAAAAAGGGAGGGGGGGGAGCTTCAAAAGTTTATGAAAAATTAAATTAAAATATGAGTTTATTTTGGTTCACAAAATATTGAAATCCACACATGATGTTTTTCAGAATACCCCCGTTCCTTGAACTTTTTGAAGACCCCGCCTACAACTTTCTAACTGCAGTCTTCAAATGGTCAAAGGAGTCTCAGGTAGAAAGGGCATGGGGTTTTCTCTGCCCACCTTCAGGGACTAGAATGAAACCAATGAGGAGAACTCCGAAGAGAAAGTGTTTTGATTCTCGATAAGAAAAATATTCTGCTAGCTCAGTTCCAAATTGGAAAGGTCACTTCCTGTCTGGACAACACTGTGAGGGCTTCTTTTTTTGGCAAGTTCTTTGGTCAAGGAGAGGCCAAACTTGGAGGTCAACTGGACTGAAATAACCTCTGCGGATCCTTCTCACTTAGAGTATTTGAGCCAACGAACAACTCGGGTTCCAGAAGGAGAGACTATAGGTAAGAAAGATGTTAAATGATGACCCAGAGTGTTTAAACTCCTGTTGAGTGAATCTCATGGTCTAACTTGTTTCATGATTGGTTTAATCCAAAGTGTGTTTCTGCGTTGTCTTCTCCTTCCTTTAAACAGTATTTTACTATTGCAGGTAATTCTGAGATGGACGTACCTCCTGGATGGACCATGTGCCCGTGAGCATAGTGGGAAACACAAAAGAAAAGGAAAACTCCTATACTCCAAATGAGCATTTTAAGGACCATCTAGGTTTTAAAAGAAGTTTAAAAAAAAAGAAAAGAAAAAAGAATGAAAAGAAGTTTCTGGCCATCTTATCAAACCCCCTCCCCATGCCTACATTTCTTTCATATCTTCCCCGGCTCAGTGGTGCCTGATCTCTGCTGGAACTCTGCCTCCCAAGTCCATAGCGCATGCTAACGAAGCTCAACCGAGCAAAACATACAGAAACAGAATGTGTGTAGGAGACGTGGGGACGAAGTCAAAGAAAACCGTGCTGTTCGTACAATACCCGATGATCAAGACAGAGTCGGAGCGGGACCAGCAGTTAGCGTAATGGCTATGTCGCTGGACTCTCATGTAGTCGACAGTGGTTCCAGCCCCAGACCCGGTGGCTTAAACTCATGCTGGGCGCATGTGCATATGTGCCCAGGATCCCAAGATGAGAATGGAGGAGAAGGGATTGCGGTGTGGCCATCCTCCCTGGGGGATGATTTCTCGCTTTCTGTCTCTCTGTCTCTTTCTGGCGAGTGCACGCACCCTATAGCAAAAACCTCTCGGGAAAAAAAAAAAAAAGACAGAATCAGAGTATAATCAATCTGAGTTTTTTAAAAACAGAATTATAGGACATTTTTCCAACATTGCCTGGAGTCTGAGGGGGCCAAGTGCAGGTGACATGGTTGCCTTCTGCCATCCTCTGCACATACAGTCACGCACCGCTTAATACTTGATCAACTAGGATCACATATACCACAGTGGTCCAGTAAGATTCCAATCGGTTAGCCCACGTGCCCTACATGTGTAGTAGGCTACACACCTATGGTTGTGTAAGAACACGTCATAGCACAATTATCTCATGACACATGCCTCATAACATAGTTCTTCCTTTCTTTCCCTTTTTTTTTTTTTTTCTTTCAGTGTTTGCTCTTAGGACATGTCCAATTGCCAAAGAGAGAGAGAGAGAGACAGGTTGAAAAGCAAAGAGAGGGAAAGTGAGAAATCACCACCCAGGGAGGATGGCCGCACTGCAGTCCTTTCTCCTCCATTCTCCTCTCGGGATTCTGGGCACTCACACACATACGCCCCGCATGTTTTTCAGGTCATATGAGGTCCAGCTGCCTTAAGCACCACGCCACTGGCTGGCCCCAGAGCATATTTTAGGCTTTAAGTGTGTCTTACAGTGCAGTTGGAGAAAGCAAAAGAACAGGGCCAGAGAAATCAGAGGGGTGCAAATCGCTAAAGAAATGCTAGGGACGTGGTGTGTGAGGTGCTTCTGTGACGTGAGCTGGGACAGAGCCATTCAGGTCAGTGTGCAGTGACAGACAGCAGTGATGGCGCATCAAAGAGTTTTTGAAATTCACACATAGTTTTTTTGTAGTGTGCATTTTCCATGCGTGTTTTTTTTTTTTTTAAAAAGACCGTCATGTGTGAGGACAGTGAGAATAATTTAGAGCAAGGGAGACGTGACAAGAGGACCTACAGGGAGGTCCAAGATACATCTGGGATGTTTCTAAGACCCTCTGAGGATCCCAAAGGATGATGAGAGGTGGGGTGGGAGCAAAGGTTGAGGAAAAGGAGGAGACAAGGCTCTGAAGGCTCTTCTGATTGGAGGAAAAAGAGAAAGGAGGCACACTCCAGCCTACAACTTCATCTCTTTATTTCCCTGGCTTGGACACCTCCAGGGAGGGCAGTCAGGAGCACCTTCCTGGTTGCAAAAACTTGGTAATTCTCCAGAAACTCTGAGTCTGCCAAGGGCTGACTGAACACCCCCTTTGTGCTCAGTTATGTGATGAAAGAGAGTCAAAACCTTAGTACAGTCCTATGTTATCAATGTCGCCCAGGAATCCGCA